CCACGCTTGTCTGTCCTATCAATTAAATGCCAAAATGCCCCAAAAAATATCTTAAAAAAAAAGAAAAAAAAGAGAAGGTGAGGTTTTGCAAGTTGACTAGGTTGACAGTGTTTCCTTCTGCCTCACCAGCAGTGGCTGAGATTTATGTAACATGCAGCGGAGAGCAGTGATCATCATTTGTACGCCACATCAATGGACGGCTGCTGCGGACTGAGCTCGGTTTAGGCTTGGACAGAAACTGTGTGGGTTCATGTAGGGTTGGGCCTAATCAGAGCTCTATTCTAAATAGGGCCTTTCGCGTTTTCTCGTCAGCAACCACAGTTTAGTCAGACAACTCACGTTTTAAATGTTTATTTCAACAGCAGAACATAGTTAGAGTTTGGCGTCTAGACTCTGGCCTCATCGCTCCCTGCAGATATGTTTATATGAGATACTGGGGAGTGCCCCTTAGCCGGAGCCTGCAGGTGGATGCTGGGATGGGGGTGGAGCTGAAAAAGCAAGCAGCAGTACTGATCCAGGGCCGCAGCAGCATAGACAATGCAAAGGAGGAGCTGGGAAGATTTTGCAGCTTAAAAAGACTGCCAAATTGAGAGGGTGTGTTTGTAGATGACATAAATGAAGAATGACGTATGACGTGTGTGTATGAATCAGTGCAGCTCGAGTTGACTGCCTGAACTAACTTGCAGGCGTCCTCCATTTCTCCTACTAACTCATCACACAGGAGAAGTTTCACTTCTGCAACCTCACCACTAGATGTCACTAAAGCCTTCACATGAGACCTTTAAGTGTAATTAATAGTCTTGGTTGGTTACAGTATAAAGTGAGTGAATGTAAGTTAGAAACAATTCAACACATTTTTGTTCATGCATATTTTATTCAAGAGTAAAAAAATGTGATTTGTCCCATAGGGCATGCTTACAATGTGTGTATCATTTAGGAAGTCAAATGCCAAAACATATTTCCATAGATAATAAAAAATGTTGCAAGATAAAATCCATTATATTTGTTTGTTGAAATATGCATGTAGACCATACAAGAACCAGAAACAGAGGAAGGAAAATAACCATAAGCTAAATTGTAACAATAATAATATCAGCAGTAAATATAACCAGAGTACAATGTTTCCTGTTAAACGTAAGTGCGACACATGATTTTCTTTGTGTCCGATTCATTTACATCTGAAAACCATGCTATCATGCTTTGGCAGCCTGAAAGTTGCTTTTCACTGAGATTATATTCATTCACACTATTGAACATTTTCTGTACATCAGTACAACAGAAAAATAAAATAATAAACACAAGGCTTCACACCTTAGAAGGGCATCTCTGCATACAACAAATCAATACAAAATTAAAAGCAGTGGTAATAAATAACAGAATGAAAAAAATGGATGAAAACAATCAAAGGAAGCCTATTTATAAAATTTATAAAACAAGACAAATAAAACTACAAATGTAATTAAAAAAAAAAAAATTCAAGTTTACTATTTGAAACACAACTATCACAATTATAATCTCACATAACAATTAGGAACTTAATTGCATGCATTGATGCGTTCCATACCATAGATGCTGTGTTAAAAATCGCCTTTTGTCCGTCCTTAATTCACATACCTTTATCATTAAATAGAAAGATGAAATATAAAGTAGAAAAAATATTCATGTATGAAAGGAAATTCTAGAAATTTATGCTCGAGGTTGGGTTTACTGGTTTCGACTTTTCCAAATTATTACTTCCTGTTTTAATAAGGTTTCTGTTCTATTTCTTCTGTTAGTCATTTGGAAATGGGAATTTTTGTTTTATTTGGATCACAGTGTGGGTGGACTTGTCAGTGAAGTTTTTCTCGGCCAGTTTCTCCACTGTACTGAACGGTAAAATCAGAATATTTTTGGAAAAAAATGGTTGAAAAACAAGAAATGATGCGTTAACACATTTTGATGCAATATGGGTGGATTCATAAACCAGATGCTCTACACTGTGCTCAGTTTTCATGATTTAAGCTCAATTTTAGTATAAAATAAATCACATTAGTTGTAAAAAGAAGAATTAATTAACTTAATTCTGGTCAGGATACATTCTTCAAATCCCTTTGATATATTTTCCGGATGAATCCAAATGACAGAATGGAGTGTGTGGTTATTAAATACTCTTTAAACAAAGGATATTTCAATTATATCCTTTCACAAATTTTTAGAATTTCCTTCTCACTCTGATATAGTACTTTGTGTAGCTCTTAGGCATGAAATCTCATTGAATTTGCAGCACAGCAAAAAAGTGCAAAAACTCAAAAGGGCGCTAACATATACTTGAGTGACTGCACATATTCTTTTATTTCTTTCTCTTCAGCAACAAGCAGGTGAGAAATAATCAGGTAGTGTGAGACAGCAGGACATGTCCCAAAGTTCAAAGATCACTTCTTCTCTTTTTCCTCTGTGGTCCAGAAACTGGTCTTAATGCCGCTTTGTTGCCGGTCATAGTGATGCAGAAGAGATGAGAGAAGCCTCCTTCAGCGGAGGATGCTCAAGTGTATACTTTCCAGAAAAGTGTGTGAGGTATAGCTTGATTAAATGCCATGCGTCTCTGATGTGAACTACTTTAACGTTTGATGGCGAGGAGGGAAATTATTTTAAGGATGGTCTGGGTAAAAATATAACCCTTTGAGATTTCCCTACGGACGTTGATGAAGTTGCATCTTCGTATGGGATAGTGTGCTCCTTTTGGGGGCATTTTCAGATGTTAAATGTTGGTGTTTAAGCTGTTATGCTGAAGTACCTACAGTGGAACCAAATTTCCCAAATGCTCCTTTCATGCCCTCCCTTTCTTCCCTCATCCCCTCCAAGTTGTTTCTTGCTAGGAGATGACTGATAATGAGGGAGGTGAGGAAAGGAGCAGTACTGGAGAGTATTGAAACGCACCCGAGGAGGAGTTTGATGACAGGCTGCAGTGGCTTTGGTGAGCACCCCGTCCTCTTTCCCCTGCAGGATGACGGCATCTTACTACAAGGTAAATCAATAAATTCAGGTCCACTGGTAAGATTGCGCTGCAAGTTTTAAGAGGTACACATTTAGTTTTCTTTTTGCTTTCTTTCACATAAAGTGGTGTGACTTGTTAATACTAGCAAAACATGTAGGTAAACAAGTTTTTTTTTTTACTCATGATGTGAATTTGTGAGTGATTCATAATAAACACTTCATGAAACAGTAAAACGATTTGTGTGGCATGGATACTGCGATTATGTCTTCTGTCGGGCCCTGTAATGAAGGAGCAGACATTTGTCAGCACTCAGAACAACACAACCCCCAACAATTCAGTCTGTAATTGAACTGAGAAAGGGAACAACAGGCAGAAACAACTCTCAACCACACTTCTTCAGTCAAGCTGCAGCCTTCTGGCCTCTTCTCATCCCTGCCCTCTGCTGTGAACCCCGGCTCCCCCCTCCCCCGACTGTGCGATGACATACTGTCGTGAAAAAAATGACCTTTTTCGCCCGTTTTAGATTTGCTGCAGATTTTCATGTTCTGTCTGTGGGCCTGGTTTATTTCTATGTTCTGAGGCCTGAATTCCCGATTTGGCAATGTTTTGCTGCATAGCGCAACAGCAGCACGGTTCTGAGGCTCAAACAGCACATCACTGGATGTTGCTGTTGTCATCCGTGCCGTTCGCCTCGGACATATTCATCTTTCCCATGGAGTGACCCACATGGTTCACCCCGTCCCTGCGAGGTGGCATGCGCTCGTTGATGCGGTCTAGGCCCTTGGCCTCCTCAAAGCTGGTGATCTTGTGCTGGGGGGAGAAGCCACGGATAGCTGAAAAGAGGAAACACATATTAAGGGATCAGGCTCAACTTGTAATGGCACAGTTTCATAATATTCCTAATATCTCATATTGTATATTTCCCAGAAAATATCAAATGCTGATGGGTTTCCCACATATTATAACTAAAAAGACAAAAGTTCAGTGGGTCAGTCGTAATTAGGACCAAAGGGACCTATTTCAATAACAGATGAGGTGATTACCAGACAGGAAAACACTGCGATGGCTGGTGTTTTTTCACCTTGTGAGTCTGTGTATCTTTGTGTCATCATGGCAAAATGTGGTCTTAGTCACACCAATTGACTTTTCACTAAGCCCTGCTCCTTTGTGATGGTCCAACAAGCTGTCAGAGTAAGCATGGAGCCCTCACTGTAACTAACTGCACTCCCTGAAGAATTACTATCATATTTTTGGAAAAATAAAACAGTGATTCCAGAGAGAAGCAGACAGAGGGGTCTACAGTCTGTGTTTGAAGGATATATCCAGGATGTCAAACTGACTCAGCAGCAACAACAGGTTAAAAAGACAAAGATAGTTAGAAGCTAAAGCCGAACTATAGGCTACAGATCACAGTGTAAAAGTGAACCACCACATCACTGCTGATCGCCACACAAGACAATGAATATAAAGGGAAACTTTGCTGATATTGAACCAGCTGTGTGGCATCACAGTGTGTGCAGATGAACGGTGTTTGGCTTCATCCCCGTGCCGCTGCCTGCACCCGGACCTCTGCTGCCGGATGGGTAGAGTCAAACAACGTTCATCTGCGCACAATGTGATGACACACAGCTGGTTGAATATCAGCAAAGTTTCCCTGCTTCCCTTCACTGGTTCCTGTACAGCAGGGTCGGTCTTTTTTTCACTGTTATAATCATTAAATAGCAAAAGCAGCATGTGTATACATTCAGCAGGCTATATCTTCAGTAGCTAGCTAGCTAACCCTACACTTTTCAGGGTTTGATTTTGGTTTTGGAACAGGGAAGAAATGTATATCTTTTTCCAACCTCTCCAGGTAACGAGTATCATTAATACACGACGTGCCCCAGACACAACATTTAGCTCCATATCCACAAAACCAGTCTGAAAATGAAGGAAATCTGAAATGACTGCATTAGAGTCAATGGAGCACAGCAGAAGCCATTTTAAGTATTTTGCCATGTGTATACAGTCAGGTCCATAATTATTTGGACAATGATACAGTTGTCGTCATTTTGGCTCTGTACACCACCACAATGGGTTTTAAATGAAACAATGAATACCTGCTTAAAGTGCAGACTCTCAGCTTTCATTTAAGGCTTTTTTCAAAAATGTAGTATGAACCGTGTAGGAATGACAACCATTTCTTCACACAGTCCCCCAACTTTAAGGGCTCATAAGTATTTGGACAAACTAACATAATCATCAATTAAACAGTCAGTTTTAATACTTGGTTGCAAATCCTTTACAGTCAATGACTGCCTGAAGTGTTGGACCCATAGACATCATCAGATGCTGGGCTTCTTCCCTGGTGATGCTCTGCCAGCCCTTTACTGCAGCCGTCTGCACTTCCTGCTTGTGTTTTGCCCTCAGTTTTGGCTTCAGCAAGAGAAACGCATGCTCAGTTGGATTCAGGTCAGATGATATGACTTGTCCATTGCAGAACATTCCACTTCTTTGCCTTAAAAATGTCTTTGGTTGCTTTTGCAATATGCTTCAGGTCAATGTCCATCTGCACTGTGAAGCATCATCCGATGAGTTTTGAAGCATTTAATTGAATCTGAGCAGATAATGGTGCCCCAAACACTTCAGCTTTCATCCTGCTGCTCTTGTAAGCAAGACAAGACTTCACTAGAATAAATACAGAGGGTTTATCACAAGATGCAAACCATTGGTTAGCCTTAAAAATGGAAGGCCAGATTGGAGTTTGTCAAAAACCATCTTAAAAAGCCTGTACAGTTGTGGAACAGCATACTATGGACAGATAAAACAAAGATCAACTACCAGAATGATGGGAAGACAAAAGAAGGAAGAAGGGAAGGAACTGCTCATGATCCAAAGCACACCACCTCATCAGTGAAGCATGGTGGAGGTACTGTTATGTCATGGCCATGTATGGCTGCCAGTGGAACTGGTTCTCTTGTATTTATTGATGATGTGACTGCTGAGAAGAGCAGCAGGATGAAAGCTGAAGTGTTTGGGGCACCATTATCTGCTCAGATTCAACCAAATGCTTTAAAACTCATTGGACGATGCTTCACAGTGCAGATGGACATTGACCTGAAGCATACTGCAAAAGCAACCAAAGACATTTTTAAGGCAAAGAAGTGGAATGTTCTGCAATGGACAAGTCATATCATCTGACCTGAATCCAATTGAGCATGCGTTTCTCTTGCTGAAGCCAAAACTGAGGGCAAAACACCCAAAACACAAGCAGGAAGTGCAGACGGCTGCAGTAAAGGGCTGGCAGAGCATCACCAGGGAAGAAGCCCAGCATCTGATGATGCCTATGTGTCCAACACTTCAGGCAGTCATTGACTGTAAAGGATTTGCAACCAAGTATTAAAACTGACTGTTTAATTGATGATTATGTTAGTTTGTCCAAATACTTATGAGCCCTTAAAGTCGGGGGACTGTGTGAAGAAATGGTTGTCATTCCTACACGGTTCATACTACATTTTTGAAAAAAGCCTTAAATGAAAGCTGAGAGTTTGCACTTTAAGCACGTATTCATTGTTTCATTTAAAACCCATTGTGGTGGTGTACAGAGCCAAAATGACGACAACTGTATCATTGTCCAAATAATTATGGACCTGACTGTATGTCTGTGGACAGATTTTGTTAACCATGATAACGCTGCAACTGTGCAAGTTGCAGACGCAACATTTTTCAGGTGTGTAGCTGAGATCAATGTGAAGACCAAATTCAAAGATGGGTGTGGTCTGAGCAAGGGGGCCGAAAGTAGGGGTGTAGGAAATAGTGCAGAGTCCACTGGCCCCCCACTTTACACTCCTGACATTTTAAATCGTGGATCACTATATTGTGGTTGGAGTGATTCCATCACAAGATGGTCTCTAGCTCTTGTGTTTTGATTTGCACAGGGTGACATACCCGTGATATATACAGTTTAGTATCTCTGCAACTGACATTAGTAAAACAGCAAAGTAGAAGCTGTTGCGATTTGACACTTGACGGACTCCTTGTGACACCAGCTGTATGACTTTTTCCCAAAAACACTAAGAGAAAAAAGTAAAGAAATTAAGTTGTAAAGTAAAACTTCCCAAACTGCAACTGATTTTACATATTTAGTCCCTCATAGATGTCTACAGTGTACTGTGTCATGACTTGAAGCTTTATCCAAACACATATGGTAAAAGAAATGTAGCCAACCCAGACTCAATTAACTTATTGTGAAAAAAAAACACTTTCTACCTGCTACCATACTGCTGATTATTTCAAATAAGATATACATGTAAGTAAAAATATAGTGTCAGTGCTGTAAACTGCTGTCCCATCCTGAACCTTCTTGGGTAGTGAACGATGATTACCTCAGACACGATCACGAGGAACTGAGGCTTCTGGATGCATATTTCATGTCGATGCTCTGGTCTGCTTTTTTGTTCTTGTGCATGCAACACTTTTTTGGAACCAGATGGAGGCCATTTACAAGCCAAACCAAAAACAATGAAGTATTGTAGTCATGCATCTCTTAGCAGCACTTGACTTTGCAGTGTTTTAATTTATCATGAACTTGCCTTGAAAAGCTGTTCTTTCTTTATTTAGCATTCTTTCCTCTTTTCCTCCCAGTTTGGGATGACCAATTTCAAATATGTGCTACAGTCACTGTTAGTGCTACACTGATCTGTGTAGCTCTGTTAGTGCTACACAGATCAGTGTAGCACTAACAGTGCTACACAGATCAGTGTAGCACTGTTAGTGCTACACTGATCTGTGGTCGTGTAGGCAGTGGGTGGGGGGTGAGAGGAGGAGATTGATACATATGGAGGAACCTTGAACAGGAGTGTATTAAAGGGCACCTTTGGTAGTTGTAAACCCAGACCATATTTTTCCGTGTGTTTGTGTCTATGTGATTAGTTAGAACAAAGGTTTTTAAAATTGGTCAAGTATTGAGTGAGAGGGCCGACAGCTGCAAAAAAAAGGGCTGCGCTCGAGGTATATGCAACCGCAATGTATGTTCACCAAAAGTGCTTGTTTTTGCCACTGACAGGCTCAGATTGTTATTCTAAGTGTCTGACAGTTTGTGGAAAGGATCCCTACAGAGATAGACCTTTTTCTTACGATCTTTTTTGTTTAACCAGACGTCACCACAAAATCACCATTGTCAAAGCCACCAGACTCCTTTTAAATAAAAAGTAATTTTATTGTATATAGAGTCAGCATATTTTCACATATAACCAAGTGAATTAAGGGTTAATTTCAACCAAATCAGAGCTGGTGATTGTTGGAACAATAAGAAGACGAATCAAGACTGTATTTGTGAGTTTTACTTTATTCCCGTCAACTTTGAATGAAGTGTGTTTTACAATGATCAAAGATAAAATGAAAAATCTTAAAAATAATATTAATCAACCTTTAAACTGTTAATGATATTAAGTAATATTAAGGAGGGCTAACCTTAGACATCTATCTCCATAATGTTTCTAATATTAATGACAGGAGGTGACGCCAAATTATTATTGATCTGGACCTTTATAATTTGCCTATACATGTTACTTTGTCAGTAAACTAAGTTAGCATTTGCACTTTGTTCGGCTAATGTTAGCCAGCAATATCTCTGTTGAGACAGCCCACTTTAATTTGGAGATGAAACCATTAATGTCAGTAAGAAATAATCCTTGTGAAGGTGTAAAAGAAACAGACAGGAAGCTGCAGTTTTAGTGAGTGATAGCAAATGTTACGTGCGTTAGCTAATATAGGCTAGATAACTAGTATGGATGTAAATCACTGAGGCAAAATGTAAGGCGTTGTAGCATTACTGTTAACTTAAATGGAGTCTGATGGGTTTGGCGATAGTGATTTCGAGGCTGTTTCTGGTTAAACAAAAAGGATCTTACTCTTGACAAAAAGGTCTATCTCTGTAGGAATCCTTTCTATTATGTTGGCAGAGATTTAAAATAATTTGAGCCTGTCAGTGACAAAAACAAGCACTTTAAGTAGACATGCATTGAGGGTGCCAAATGCCCTGAGTGGTTACATTTCAGCCTGATTTGCTGCCACTGGATTCAGCCCTCTCGCTCAATACTGGACCCATTTCTAAAAGTGTCAGTCACTGAGACACAAAACATGGGAATAAAGGGTCCGAGTTAAAACCTATCAAAGGTACCCTTTACGTGTGCGACAATTTATGTTCTCAGTTCACTCCTCCCTCGGTAAATTTGTCTCGACCAAACAGTAACAAAAATATGATCCCTCACCAGCTTCCCACCTTGCAAATACTGCCAATTGTGAGTTGCCTCTTAAGTACTCAGGTGCCCATTAGAAAACAGTTCCTTAAAAATCCTCTCCCTACAGTACAGGTGACCAATTATTTCATTCCAACTTTTATGAAATATCTCTTTCAGTTCTCTCTCTAAGATTTAAAAACCAATTAACTTGTTTGGTTTTCTGTTTTAATTAATGTTACTGCAAAGTAAAGTGCCAGCCAAAGCAGCATCGGACCGTCCCGTGAAATGTTGCTTGATGGAGTCGTTGTTGTGTGAGCTCTTTTGTGAATGAACTGTTAGTGGAAGGTGGCCTCTGTGGCAGGAAACCCTGACAGTATGTTTAGAGGGGTGGAAGATGGGGCACAGGTTTACCTTCTCCGTCCTCATCAGTCGTCTCGATGGCTTCAATGGCTTCAATGGTGGCTGAGGGGGGAGGAGGGGAGCAGGTTACTCCTGATAAAGCCATGCAAATGTAAAATGCAGCCCCAGCGAAAAAGGCGGCTCGTGTTAGGCCAGATGGGATATAGTACATGTTCACTGGCAATGCAGGCCAACTCAAGAATGCCATGCATTAACACTGAGAGAATTAGTGTCAATCTCGGGTTAGATGTGAAAAATAAAAAAGACAGATCCATAGAGAGAGAGAGAGAGAGAGAGAGTGGGACAGATGTATTGAGACAGAAAGAGTGAGAGGTTGAGTGGAGCCTGTCAGAGAATTTATGTAAGAGGACAGAAATGACCTCAGGTCAGTGTGAAGACATTGCTCTCTGTCGACACCAGTAGTGATCAGTCATCGATCCCACCAAGGTTTTGTGCACAAGCACAGTCATTGGGTTGGAGACAGCCAAACTTTCATTTAAAAATACCTTTAACACTGAATCAAATGGCTCTTTGTGGTTGCTTGTCCTGCCAATCCCACTGTAAATCAGCATTGAACTCTCACTAAAAAGTAAGTGAATGATAGACTTTAGAAAGTGAGAACTGGGAATCACATTGGATTCCCATGTTGTTCTGTTGTTCTGTATCTGCTGGATGTGTAAGTGGGCAATTGTAGGTCAACAAATGTGCTGTAACAACTTGGCGAGCTGATACGATTATGTTGGTGTGAGTTTTGCCGCCTATAGATTAAAAAAAAATGCTTAATGTAAAGTTTATGTGTGAATTTATGTTTATAGTCAAGGCATGGATCTAGGAGTGACTTCCATCTTTGTCTGGTGATGGAATCTATACAATGCAGGTTTTACACTATATTACACTGTAATGTGTTACTGCAGGCAGAACTTTTAAGAAGCAGTTGTGCTGTTGACTTAGGTTCCTTTTTCACAGCTTAAAGGAATACTTCACCCCCCCCAAATGACCATTTGTATATCAGTTACTAACCCTGTGTTACCTTCAGTTGCTGAGGAAAACCTTGTTTTTCCTGCATGCCTCTCTGGTAAATGACGAATCCAAAAAGTAGAAAATTCATGATGAATTGAAGTCATAGGGGTCCATGTTTAACAACAGCAAAACTATCAAACATCTGTTTACAAACTCTCACACAACTCGTGCAGTATAATCCATTTATCCAGTCGTATGCTCAGTATTTCCTAAACACATGCATTCTTGCTAAAAGTATGATTTTAAACACAGCATTTGAAATAGTAAAGTTTTAATGAAAATGCATTTGTTTGGGAAATACTGAGCATACGACTGGATAAATGAGGCTTGGATTATACTGCAAGAGGTGTTTTGAGTGTTTGTTGTCAGATGTTTTGGTACAGTTTTGCTTTTGTTAAACATGTCCCTTTATGACTTCAATTCATCAAGAATTTTCTCATTTTTGGATTTTTCGTTCACCATGGAGGCATGCGAGAAGAATGTTTCCTTCACAAATTCAAGAAAACACAGGATGAGTAATTGATACACAAATGATTATTTTGGGGGTTAAATGTGATCAAAGAGGCTAAAAAACAAGCTAGAAAAGAGAAAGAGAGAAGTAAGAACAGTGGTAGGACTGGGACATGATGAAGAAATGAAACAAAAAAAAGATGGAGTAAAGGGTAGAGAAAATGCTTCATGCTGAGCCTTGTACTCACCACTCTGCAGTGTCTGTCTGCCTCCAGAGAGAACCCCGCTTGGCAGCATGCCAGTGGGCGTCAGGCCTTTAAGCGTCAACACATTTTCACTCTCCTCTCTGCAAGAAACAGAGGCAGGCAAACAGGTCATAAAACTTCACCGAACCCTTAACAAAGTGGAGACAAAAACTTTATGCCCCCATTTTGATAACAGTGTACACACACACACTCCCTTTATACACATGTACACACACACACAAACATGAACTCTACCTGAGGACTGAGAACATTTTGGCCATTTTCCCAATAGCACGGATCTTGTTTCTGATCACCTCCTTGCGTGCTGCAGCTGCATTGGCTGCAAAGAAATACAAATACATATTGCCATTACTGTCTCTGATATAACAGATGCCGCCATTAAAACTTCAGCCCATATAATACATGAGAAACTTGCTGTAGGGTCCTGTAACACAAAATATACTGTATGTTTCTTGATACATAGAATACCATTGCAATACATACTGTTATTATAGGCCATTGTAATGCATCAGATACTGTAATTACATGCCCATGTAACTGTGCTCTAATGTGCGGACTCTGTGTTTCCATCTTTCACATGATCTCTTGTCTAGCACCTGATGTTTATCATCTGGATGTGCGTGCTTTTGTGTACCTTATTGTACTTAATACTATAGGTTCTGTTATCATGGACTATATGAATCAAAAAATGTGTTTATGGACTAATCTGATGGCAATAAACATTGTCTTCGTTAGGTAATGCAATACAGCACAAATCTTTATCTTTTTCTTGATAAGCTACTGTTGAGTTTTACATAATTAACACATCAAGATCACATGGCAATTGACTGCATTTATGCCAGTGTTTAAAGGCAACGCCGTCATACAAGTGCATGAAAACGAGAATCATTTTACACCTTATTCTCTACCATACCTGTTGGTAAAGGATAGAAGCCCAAAATCCAGCTCAAGTGTGCAAATCTCAACTGTAAGCCACTAACTCATCACTGTATCCTGTATGCTTGGGTCTTCTTACAATTTCGTATACTTTTTCATTGGCATTCTCTTATTTACAAAACTATTCTTGGCATACTTCCACCAAAAACTTGAAAATGGCTATGCTCTTCGTTCTCAGAACATGTTTTTATTGTCTGTACTGGGGGTGCAGCTCCTTATATGTGGAATCCTCTGCAGAAGGACTTAAAGTTGTACTCATTGTTTCCTCTCGGCCGTTTCAAAGTGCTATTGCAGGATTTTTGTACACAATCTCCTATATACCAATGTCACAGTGTGTCTTAGCTGGTCTTTGTAATCACGTGTAGTTGCCGTTTTTTTTCGTTGTATGGTTCACTTTTAGTATATATTAACATGATTTTTGGCGTTTCATTGTCGTAATCTTATTTTGTGTTTTATATTGCTTGTTTTACATTTTTATTCTGTATTTTTGTTCTATGTTGTCTGTCTGTAATTTATGTTGCTGCCTGTCTTGACCAGGACACTCTTGAAAAGGAGATTTTTAATCTCAAGAGGTTTTATCTGGCCGAATTAAGGTTAATTAAATTAAAACAAATAAATAATTCCATGAAAGATCTAGTTTTAGTGTGGTAAGGGAGACTTTGCAGTGGCAGCTCCATCTATGACATAGCCTTCTGCTTACCTTCCACTGACACTTTTACAACAAAACTCAAGACGTGCATGTTTTCAGTAGCCTTTGGTTGCTCTTAATGGTTTTAATAATAGTGTTTTATAATATTCTGTGTCTGTTTCATATTTGGACATATATTATGATATTGCCTTGTATTTTCCCATTGCCTTTTACTGCTGTAATTATGCCTTTTTTCAACTCTGGTTGTTTTTAAACAGGAATGTGCTATATAAATAAACTGGATCCACAATATACTAATGACACATATAAAGAACAGAGTATTGAATCATTATTTACAAAACATCGTACCATCAAAGATCTCATCCTCCTCATTCATCATGAGTTCATCATCGGAGCAGATGCTCAGCACATTCACCAGCATTTCTGTGACTGGGGTAGAAACAGAGCGCAGGATGGAGGTGAAGTCATTAAGCAATAAGCGCCAAACATGACAGAATAGGATGTGGTGTTGTATTAAAAACACCAGAAGACTTTCCTCTATTAACGTTTACCTTTCTCTCCAACAAATGGCAGAGACCAGGTGAAGACATCCATGAAGTTGGGCAGCCAGTAGGGATGGGGTGAGCAGTTGAACTGCCGGATGTTCATGACGTTGTTTTCGTATTTCAGTACAGCAGCTGTTGGGGAAGCAGAGGGGAGACAGTAGAGTAAAATCCATCCTGTCCTGTTAATAGCCTGCTCTGAAAAAGATCACACCACTTTAATAAGAAATATTTAATAGAATCAGATAATTTTTTAATAACGTTTGCTTAAAAGAAAAGTTATAATGTGGCATATAAAGCTATTCTTACATAACTGCACTGCACGACGACTGCACAGTGCTCAAAAAACAAAGTTTCATGGGTGCTCTCTTCAAATGTATTCATGTTCTGTGTATGTTTGTGTACAGCAGTGTGTGTGAGACAGAGTGGAAAATGAGATATTCGACCACTAGATGGCCCAGCTGAGGCCAGGGATTGCTGACACTGTTACATCAAGAGGGATAAAGTCACATGGAGATAGTCAGCGACAGTCCCTCCCACGCTCCCCATCTCCTATAGCCCATAGCAACCAAGACACAGATCTGAGAACACAAACAAACGGGGGCTCCCTGATGCATTCTTATGCCTGCTCGCAAGCTAAATGCAGATGCATTAACCTCTACACTCCACTTTGTGCCGTTAAAACCATTTAAATCAGTAAGTCAGCGGAGCCCATAGTAGTCATTTTGTTGGAAGCATTTTTTAATGAAATCTAACCCAGATGCAGTTAAAATGCCAGAGATGAAGGTGTCTGTATGGATGCTGAAACTGGGGCACCTCTCTTTCACAACACCAGGTTTTACTGTTTACTCTTGTCTCTTTTAAGTAGCCATTTAAATTATATATGGGAATACTACAGTGTTTTCAACAGGAAAAGATTCATTTTATATAGCTTAATATCAGCCATTGTTACCGTGCAGAAATATGACACAGATATAACAGATGACAGAACAACAAATGAAACTGTAAACACAGAGAGGACGGGTATAAAATGCAGAGATTTTCTGACCTTTGTTGTTGTAAACATCCAGGTAGTTTGGTGCTGAGAAGATGGTAATGAGCGATGGGAATCCAGTGGTCTGACTTTTACGGTACATCCGGTAGCTTCACGCCAGTCAGGTGGAGGTAAAGGCAGAAGAAAGGTACAGCTTGTTGTTATATTTGTTATTATTTTTTGTTTGTGTGGATATTGTTGTTTTTTAATATGCATTGCAGGGAAAACATACCCTGCATCTTGTGCTTCATGCGCTCGGATAATTGATAATAGGTTATTGCTCTGTAGGAACTCACACACAGCTGGATAACTGGAAAAGAGAACATAAAAACTAGGGTTAGAGTTGTCACCGAAAAAATGCTTTTAATGTACCGTAATGTAAAAAACAAGAAATCTAATTAAGCACACAGTCTCACCATAACTTTTCCATCATTGAAGCTGTAGGTTACCAATTCACACACAGTTTTACTCCCCAGAAAATGAACAAAGATGCATCACTCATGAATGCATTAATGGAAGCCTCACTGAGGATGATGCAAGGATGTGAAAAACCAATCCAACAGCTACCTGTTGCAGTTAAAAACAAACTAACCCAGTATAAGCGGCAGTCAGAGCTTCCTGCCCCCGAGGTCTAACCTGACAGGAAATGTGCCTGAAAGGAAGGGAAGCCAAACTGACTGCGATGCTACACTCATTCATGGCATTAAGTATGTGCTGTATCCAATGCACCCTTTGCAATAAGGCAGTCAATTAAACCTGTCAGTGCCACCGCCCCGTTCTTTTTCTTTGTTACTGCCTCATGCTTGCTCACTCTAATTATGTCGGTTAAGGACACCTTTTTAGAAGAATACAGTAATATTGTTTGCCCCACCTTACCCGCAAATTTCACAGCTCCATTTATTGGACATTTCGTCAGCCACAAAGGTGTACTTCGAGCCAGAAGTGGAAATTTGTGTCTGTGCTGCTGACAGTTTGGGGAACAGAGTGACTCTTATCAAGGGGCTTACTGCCCACTAAAATGCCTGCGATCAATGATTTACTTTACCCAGCTAAGTATTTGCTGCTGCAGCTGCTGGGTGATGTCTTGGTGTCTGCTAATGTCTCCTTTTATGCTCCAGCCATTTACAGTGCCTGCTCCCAGTCACTGCTTTTCTGTTACAGTATTTATGAATTAATTTTTTTGATTAAGCTTTTTGGTTTTTATGAAGGATTTTTTTACCCTTAAATTGGGATATGATGGAAGCCCATTTCCGCCAGTGTGATTAAAAAAAAAGATGAGGTTAAATTACTATTATGAGGAACTTTCTCAAAATAATAACTTGATATCTCAAAAAAATCACTGCTTATCTCAAAATAATAAAAAAAAGTTCCTTAAATAATGAGAAACCATAAAACAATTACTTAGTATTTCAAAATAATGAGAAGCTTTCTCAAGATAATAAATTAGTATCTCAAAATATTGATTTAGTATCTGGAAATAATGACATAGTATCTGGAAATACTTAGTATCTGACAAAGTATCTGGAAATAATGACTTAGCATCTGGAAATACTGACTTAGTATCTGAAAATAATGACTTAGTATCTGACAAAGTATCTGGAAATAATGACATAGTATCTGGAAATAATGACTTAATATCTGGAAATAATGACTTAGTATCTGACATAGTATCTGGAAATAATGACTTTCAGGGACTCTAAATAATAAGAAACATTCTAAACATTATGAGTTCTTTTGCAAAATAATACAAAAAAAAAAAGTTCTCAAAATAATAACCAAGTACCCCAAAATAATGAGAAACTTTCTCAAAAAAATTAGAGGATGCCTCAACTTTTGACTTAAAGTAACAGGGTCAATTACACTGCAGTTGTATGTGTGACAAGTCAATGTTATGTTGTTGAGTATTATAACTCCACAAAATTTGCTCCATGCTCAATATGTGGAACATTTGAAACCCAGTTTTTGTACCCCTACGCTCACCTTTGGGGGTACCCCACCTATTAAAGGGTGTCTCCCGCTTGCCTCTCTCCTTCTGCTGTTGTATTCCATGGGAGAGGTAAGTGACATTGCTCTTGTGGTCATTTCTGTGTTTTAGCGCTGTTAAGCTGTTTATAAGTTCATTTTATGCTAATATAATCTGAATGCCTCCAAAGATATCCACGGTTGCGTCTTTATATCTAAACAACGCAGACATCCGTAGAGTCCACCAGTTACATTAATATCGAAAAAGTAATGAGAAACAATAAGTCATATTTTGAGAAAGCTCATTATTTTGAGAGACTACAGCTTTATTTTTGAGAAAGCTTCTCATTAACTGTCTTAACATGACTTTTTTTTCTGTTCATCACACTTGCAGAAATGGGTTTCTGTAGAGTACAGATATGTCAACTGTGAGGAAATGAATAATCATCATGACCACTTTACATATAAAAATTCAACATGTCAGCCTCACTAAACAAAAACTTCACACTACACACTTCTGTGCTCAATTCTGACTGATAACATTACAAGTCTAAATGGTTAATAACAGAGTAAATCAATTAAAATTTGTAATATTGTTATCTCTCCACTGGCTGCATGCCGAAGTTGTCCTCAGTTTTTTTTTTCTGGCCAGATGGACAATGAGCTGTCACATGGAGAAAGATGATAAAAACCACATGACTTCCTATCTGACACTTCAGACTGGAGTTACATCTGATGTGGAGCAGATTCAGGACCCGACTTTGTTTCCAAAGGAAAAGTAAAAACAAAATCTCCCAGAAAACATCAGACCTGTGTCACACAGGAGGGGCATGTAATCAGAACGGGGACACTTCCAGCTGCAGCGTGAATGTAGCCTTCCATTTAGCAGCTCTCACCACAGTTATGTAATACCTAGAAGGTTGTGTTATGTCATTCAGAGACTGTATCATCCCTTCAAACTGTGTCTCCTGGGTTAGGAAAAAAAAGATTACAGTTTGATTAGCTCTTTTAAAAATTTAATGCCCTCAATTCAGCAGCACCTCAATCTGTCTTAGCTTTGAGGAGTCCTTTGTGATTCCTTTATTTCGTCAAGCTGCTGTATTCCAGACATACATCTGACAAGAAACATATTCTTAGATCCATCAGTCGTAAGTGCCAACCTGGTTACAAATGAAACATTTGCTTGATTGGTATCTCATCTAAGAAATGTATTCTTAAATGACTTTGATAGTTGCTAATGAAGTCAAATGAACAATGCATAATATATGTTCACCAAAGGCTGTGCGTCCTGTCAAAATGGTGCTGAGTAAAGCACCCGTGACGACAACACTTACAGATGCTCTTTGTGAAAGCATTAGCCAAAAGCACCTACTGTAAAATATAAATCAGACACATTGCTCACTTCACTGCAAACTCCCCAGTATTTGTTGGTGCAACCCTTTTGCACACCAGCGTTCATCTATATGAGTCCAACGGGACATATTTCAATTAATTATTGTAATATTTTTTCTCTTTTACAAGTTTCTGCACAGGCATTTAGAGACGTGAAAACTTTCTTATAGTTTCAAACTGCTAATTACTGTTTGCAGTGACCCACATTCACTGTGTAATCCATTTTCGAAGACTGACACAGCACAAAAGTAGATACACCGAGCAAGCTATTAGTACAGGGCTGCAACTAACAATCATTTTTGTTATCAGTTAATCTGCCAATTATTTTTCTGATTCATCCATTACACTTTTAGCTGATAAAAAGTCAGACAGTAAGGTGACGTCTACTAATTGCTTCGTCTGACCAACAGATATTAAATTTACATTAATAAACTAGAAAAGCAGCGAATCGGAGAAGCTGAAAGACATTTTTCCTCATGAATGTTCAAAATGACTAATCAAAATTGTTGATTACTTTTCTGACCACCCGCCAATGATAAGGTGATTGCCACTACCACCAGTCATGTTTTCCAGACCTACAGTAACATACAGTACATCCTCCCCCAGCAACAATCCCCTCTTCTGGCACTTTCCTACAGTCACTGCCATCCATGCACCCATCAAACTTTCAGAAGCATTTAAAATATTTAAGTGCTCAAAGGTTTGTGCCGGAAGAAAAACAAGGAGAGCTGCTGTGCCCTGAGCACCTGGCGAAACTGTGCCATCCTCGTATATCTAGGTCACATGGCTAACATTCCCTCGGTGGCCAATATATAAATTACAGGAATAGCTGCATCACACACTAACATGGATACGCTGTAACTCTTCCCACTATGGCTGACAGTACACCCTAATAGAACTGTGAAGTGTTATATAAGTGTTCCTATTAAAAACACATCTACAATCTCTAACTTAGAAATAAGGGGGATTTTTGCCTCACACTCGTTAAACATTATATTTGTCAGTATTTTTTGCTTCTTGTGCACAGCGCTGGCACAAATGTCACATAATAGCATCAAAATAAAGACTCCAACGTACACTATGTTCTAATTTATCTTTTGTCCGCACCAATGGTATCTATTGATTATTGCAAGGGAACACAGTACACACACACACACACACACACACACACATTGCTCGCCTGCGGCTCACATTCCTTCTCTCCCCTTTGTGAAAACACACAATTAAGTGTTGGTGAGCCTGTGAGTGAGAGGGAGCGAGAAATCTGACAAGTGAGTATGAGCGAAGGAGACAGAGAGAGATGGAAGTGCCGTGTTGTGAGTGTGAAACTGAGAGGTTTTTTCTTTCCCTTAAGAAAATCCATCTGTTGGGCTGGTGGTCATCACGCTCATTTACCCCTAATATAAAAACCCATGTTTATAATCTTATTCCTAATCACTGAGCAGGGTCACATCTTTCTAATGGCATCAATCAATGCACAAGAAACGAGGCTTGGTTAGTTGGTGCTTTGCTATTGTAAAAATAAAGTCCTGACAAGGCTGCAAAATAGACCAGAACATGAAGTGTAGCCAGTATATGACAATTGAATTAATACAAACCATTATCTGTTAAAGCAGCATACATGTAATCAAAACTACTAATTCTGCAGTGGTGCCTCCAGATTAATATGATGTATGAAAAATAAAGGCTGTGAACAAAATTTCATCTAACCCTTTTCCACTCCATCCCTCCCTACCATAGACCCATTTTTGTCTTTTTTAGGGGGGGCAGTAGATCTTTATGGGGAGATAGCAGGTTAACATTATATGCAATATAGGAGTTTTATACATCATCTGAAAGCTGGGAACCTGCAGATTAATTTGAGATGCAGCTCAGCACTGTGTGAAGCTTCTCTAGTCACAGATCTGTAATAAACATTGTGATTTGGTCAGACGCCTATTTAAACGTTAAAGGCTA